TTTTATGTTTATCTGTCTCAAGGTGAGGTTATTTAGAAATAAGTGCAGGGTAATGTAACTGGCTTCTCTATTATCACTTAAATGGTTACCACTTGTGTTTTGAAAGAAGCGAAAAGTATTTAGAATTTTCACTTCCATAGCCTAGAAAAATTCTTCTATGAGGGAAGGAGTTGTGAAAAGGTGGCATAAAGCTTCTCTGTCTAGGATGAGTTTTCAGATTGCAATAGTTTTTACAGGGTTGCCACTTAAAGAGGAGAATGAAATTCCCTGACTTTTCCAGATATGTTTTGAGAAATTCCAGTCTACCTGCATAGTGCATGTTGGCTGCCCTGAGAGGTAAATTATGGTACTTCTTGAAAACACAAAAATTTGCCAATTGCATATGACTATATACGTATATATAATCCTGAAAGCATTACTATTAAAGCTTTGCAGACATTTTGCAGCTACCGTAATTTAAAGAAGAAAGATCGCATCAGCGTAAACGCCGCACTCGAGAAAAATGGCAGGAAAAAATTTAAATTACACAAAAACGCCGCATCATCATAAACGCCGCAAAATTAAATTGTGCATAACATCGTCGTGGGCCGTATAGATGCAAAATCTCAACCTAAGTCCTGATATATTACATACCAGTTAAGAAAAATGCATGAAATGAAACCATAACTCAAAAATAAATTAAAGGTAAGAAATGTGGAAAATATATTTAGCTTCACATATATACTTGTATTTACCCACTAAAGAAATACATATTTTAAATACTCAGACTATATTATAAAAAATGTTGCAACAAAAAAATATTAACTTTGTACGAAAAAAGGAAATTTTAAATTTTACTTACAAAAGGAATTACAGCAAACTATACATCATATGAAGCCATCAAAATCTTATTCTTCACTATCTGAATTAAAAAGATTTAGTAAATCCTGATCTAAGTCTTACAGATACGTCACATTCATCCTCTTGGTTTACAGTCTGTTTATCTAAGGATATAATTTCAGCTTCTTTGAACCTTGCTATTATTGACAATGTTTTTACCGATTTCCACGCACTTCCTACCCACTTTGCAACTTCTTCATAAGATGCTCTACACATTTTATCGCTTTTGGTATACGTATGCAATCCTTCACTCATCCAACACTCCCACTGCTTTCGGACTTCAGCTTTGAAGGATTTATTACCTGATAAATCTAACTGTTGTAAGATTTTTGTCAAACCATCAGGAATTATTGCTTCGGTCGTAGACAATTTTTGACATCTGGTTTTCACTGACTCAAGTAAATGAGCACCCATGGAATCCATTATCAATAACCCTTTTGGTTGGAAAAAAGATCCCATACGACACTGCCAAACTTTTTGTAGCCGCTCATGCATGATTGTTTCGAACATTCAGCCGTTCTCGTTTGCACAAATAATTACGTCATTAGGAAAATCTCTCTTCGGAATAGTCTTTCGTTTAAAAATGATCATCGGCTTTAGCTTGTCACCGTTTGTGGCACATTCTAACACACATGTAAATGACGTTATTTCATGCCCCGTCGTAAGCACAGATACAGTTTTTGCATTCATCAACACTTCTGTTTGCAGGAGAGTCGAAAGCTAACGGCGTTTCATCCATCTGTGACCGAAGAAGTTTTTTTTGTCAATAATATCTGTCACATATTTTTAGAAAAGATGCCTTTTTATCCTGCCAGTCCATTGGTAATTGTTGCCCGACTGTTGTTCTAGTAGGCACAGAAATATTTTTTCTTTTCATAAATCTGCTACACCTCCTTTGAAATCATTATATTCATTCATTTTTTTGCTATAAATTTTGCTTGTAAGCGAATTTTTACAGCTTTTACATTCCCTTTCCTCGTTGCTCCTTTTTCCAGTTTTCAAGGTCGTCCTCTAGATTCGGCCACCTTACAGTATCACTTCTTACGCTCGTTTCTGTTGTGGCATATTTTAAAGTTCTTTTTCAGTCTTCCAACGTCGAATACAACTCTCGTCAACTTCAAACTCTCGAGCTGTTGCTCGATTTCCAATTTGCTCAGCACGTGAAATTACATTAAGCTTAAAACCAGCAGTATAGCTTCTGTGCCGTTTAGGTGACATTTTCAAAAATTTTCCACTCTCTTCTTACTTAAAAACTATCCAACAAGTACTTGTACCCAAACTGATGGGATCTGTATCTGGCAGAATGCCAAGAAAAATTGATTCATGCTGAAGGGGAAATATGTCAGAGTTCATTATTGCAAGGCCAGGTGGAGTCGTATCCACCGCCTTTGAAAAAAATTGCAGAAAAGGCAGGGGTGGGGAGAGGATGGGTACTGGAAGATTTATCGAATGGCAGAGGAGAGAGACTATTCAAACTGATGAGATGGTTGATTTGAAAGGGGGAAGAATGTTATTTTTCTGAGATCTTATTTAGGGTGAATAAGGCATGTAGATCCGTTCAAGGGAAAGAATGTAAACAAAATAACGTTCGCAAAAATCAACTGAGTGGTCTTTTGTGTGGGAACAGCACCAGTCTATGCACAATGACAAGGCCATCCAAACTATGTACAATGACCATCATAGGAAATATTTTATATTTAGTACACCTAAACGCCGCATGGGTAGAAATGCCGCACACGCTGAAAATTTAAGTTTTAAACACGTAAACGCTGCAGCGTTTCTTCTGGAAATTACGGTAAATAAAAAAAGAAATCTATTTAATGATATTTTTAAATAAACTCAGGTATTTTATATTTATTTAACAGCATACATAAACAAAAATATGTGCATTAAATTTCGTGATAGTATGTCATCATACTACTAGATTTAGTTTCAGAATTACGCCAGAGAAATTTGCCTGAAATTTGAAAGTATTATTAACTAATAATAAATAAATTTAGAGGAAAGAAGAGCATTAAAAGATATAAATAACATTAAAATGAAGTTAATTACTTAAAAACTGAATTAATGCTATTTTGGCGAATATTAAACGTTAGCCTAGATGACTGATAAGTATTTTTAAATTTTACCGCAAAATGAATAAAAAAAAAGTTTAAAAGGTTTTGCAGTAAAATCCTAGTCTTCGCTATGGCCTTTGTACAATTTTGAAAACTGCCGCCACCACTAAAATGACCGGTTTACTACCCAACACCTTCTTAAACAGAGACTAAAAGACAGAAAGTGGTAACAGTTGTTACTGCCCATCATAATGTCGCCAAATACCATTTGTACCATATATGGAGGTTAGAATAAAAAATTTGTATTGTTAAGATAAAAAAAACTTCTCTTCAACAGGAATGGCTCCTTCCCAACGTAGACGAAAACAGCTGCATATGCACGAAATATCTGTCGCCGAAGCTCATGAAGTTCAAAGGTCAAGTTTATCAAGAATACATGAAACGAATACCGTTTTAAAATTAAAAAGGAAAAGAAAATATTTTTTGCATGAGTAAATTAATTAACAGATTAGCTATTTTGATCAAAAAATGTATGAAAATCCAAGTATATATTATCGCAAAAGTCAAAGAACGTTTCTTCTTAACACATGCTCCACAATTCCCTGTACACATCGTGGAGGGGAAAATTCTCGCTATCAGGTTCCGTCGGCAAATCCCTTGGAAAATTTTTCCCTCTGCTTCTTAGTGGCACTCTAGCAAACTGATTTACATTACGTCTACGGAACCTTTCTTTCTCTACATAGACATTCTTACATTAGAACAGAGTACATGGGGGCAATTCTAGCCTCCAGAGTACCGTATATTAGGATTAAACTGATTTTGTTGTATACAAGAATGGGAAGGTATTTTCTTTAGTTCAACTTAACCTGCACATGCGAGTCTTAAGATTCTTGAGGCTACTGGAAACCAAACTTGCCAGAAACTTGCTTTGCCTTTCTAAAAGACAATCTGATTGGAGCTGCGAAAATTGGCTCTACAAACAACCAGCTGCCCGAATGACACCCATCCGATACATAATTCGCAAACAAAGCCATCTCTTCCAACATTGGCACAAAAATCGTTTTTTGGAGGATCGCCGTACGACATTTCCTGATTTTTCCAGATTTTGACTAAAATATTTAAATTCCTTGACTTTGTTGGTCAATTTTCGAATTCCCTGACTTTTTCCAGTTTTCCTGGTAGAGTGGCAACCCTGTTTTCATATCTGTGGTGAAATCCTGTGCCTTTGTTAACGATTCCAGTTGCAGCCTCGAAGGTTGCTCCAGTGGACAAAGAGGTAAAAGCTTTTCATCAGGGTCAGGAGATGGACACTTTATTAGGTATGAGTGAAAGAATCCTCCCCTGGGAGTCAGTGCAAGTAAACACATGGAGATATATAAGATGTTTTCCTGAGAAGAGAGAAGTTCCCTGTTTAGAGCTATGGGCATGTTGGCCGGCTAAGAACGATCATTCCTTGTGTATAATGCGATAGAGCATTTTTCCTGTAACCAAAATTCTGAAATTACAGGACTAAATGTATCCAAGTCCCATACTGTGAAGAATCGCCAACTATTAATGTTTTTATCTAATTAAAATTCATGGTATTGTTAGAACTTGAGTTTGAAATTCATTTCAACTCTGCATCACAACCCAGGGTTTGCGTAGCAGTTTTGGCCACTACACCACAACAGCTTATAAAAGCTGTTGTGATGAATTCAGATAACAACCCATGTATCAGCCATTTTTAAATATACATAAAGCATGATTTTTTGCATCTCTGTGCAAACAATTAAAGAATTTGTAAAAGAGAAGCCCCCTTTAAAAATTGCAAAAACTTTTAAAGCTAACAAGTATGCATATTTAATAAATTTCTATGGTCTTAAAAAAAAAAAAAAGAAAGAAAGAAAAAGAAGAAAAGAAAAGAAAGAAAGGAAGAGAAAAATGAAAAGGTCAAAATTTTTACATACACAATATTATCTTTACTTAAAAGGGAGGGATTCTTCACGGGGAAATAATACTTTTAATTTTTCCTTAAAAATAAAATGCTTCAAATGCAATTTAAAATATGGCAGAATAAAACCTAACCAGCAGCTGAATCTGTAGGTTCTGGAGGCCATCCAAGAGTAGGAATCCCAACATCCTGATCTCGATTTTCAAAGCCAGCAAGGTTGCGTGCTGCTGATGTTGCTCTACGCATAATTTCTCGAAGTGTGGAACTGAGAGAGAGGGAAGGAAAAAAGAAAAACTTCATATAACTCCACATTTTAAAAATGGAAAAAATTTTACATTAAAGTAACTGCATATTTCACAACAAATGAAGCAAATTTAAGATAACAAACTTGCGTGAAGGAAGGCCACTTCCACTGTTTGCAACTGTTCCACTTAATAAATCTAATGATTCCAGGCTTGCACTTCCACTTGTTTCCACTGAAGATTTGGAAAAAAAAAGAAGAAGAAGAAGACAAAGATTATCAAACAAAAAATATGACATAAAAACTTACAGCAAGACCTTACCGTATTAAATACAGATTAATAATAAAATAATTTTGTATTTACACTATAAAACCATATTAAAACACTGCTAAGTTTTCACAAGTGGTCCATCAGCTTTTCTCCAGTTGAAATCCAAATAATAGATGGCTTAGATAAGGTCACTTTTTTGAGAGGGGGGGGTGTCATTTTGTGTACGGTTTGTTCAGATATATGGAAGATTAAAATAAAGTCTCTACTGCAGCATGATCTTGTCATAATTTCTACATTATAAGGTTTCTAATTTTACAGCTACTTTTGTGGAGTTAAGATCATTCTAATTTTGCTACAATTCAGTTACTGAGTCTGAATGTTCAGAAGATTATTTCACAAAGAAAGTGGAATTTTCTTTGCTGTATCAAATAATAGAAAATTCATAAATATCTTTCTTATGTTTGCTAGTTCATTTTGACAATTTTCTAGATGACAAACCATATACTGAGTTTCACTATTTCTTTCACTGTAGATGGAGACAGTATGTAGGCCTGATGTTTTTATTGCGATAGCATCCAATTTCTTCACTCTTAATAATTTCCAAATTGATGAGGCTGGAATTACAGTAAGTTTAAATCCAGATTATGTGAACACTTAGAGGTTACATGGGGCAATGAAATAACAGGGCAGTGTCCCAATGAATCAATTTCTGCCCGGTTGTTGTATCGATGGCAAATTTACTTTTACAAACACTCAAAAGACTTGCTGTGTTGCCAGCCAATTTATGGTAGGCCATAATATAAAGTGTATTGCCAATTCTTCAGATAAAATCCAGAAAATGAAAATTATAACTAAATTCTTTTTAATCACAATTTGTATACCATTTAATTTTCCACAGAAATGTTTCAATATAAATCTATATCTACAACACTCAAGATTAATAACCCCCCTAACTTCAGATGTAGCAAGAAAATTTGGTGCTTTCTGATTATTCCCACCTCTGCCAAAAAATTGTAAAAACATTCATGAGTAAAGCAGTATGTCAGTAAACTAGTTATTTTGCAACTCACAATATCTCCATAAAGCATTTATGAGGCAAACCAGATATGTGATAAATTATGGAATTAATATGTATTTATCACATGTCTGTTTTGGCTGGCGCATAATGATGAATAGTAACAGATGCTAGGTTTGTGTAAATCTCTATTGTTTTCTTATGTAAAATTTGATCACTCTCTGCATGGGAAGAACAAACAACATTTCAAAAAAGAAGCATTTCTCAAAAATGTAAGTGTTTTATTACTTATCTTTCTTGGCTTTTTTAAATTTATTGATTGTTCCTGTCTGAATTTCTCAGTGTGCCACAATTTTGAAAATGACTATTGCCTTTCATCACTAGCTTGGTGACAAATTAGTCACCAATGAGTTCACGAATGCTCTCCAAATTTTCCAATGAATTCGTATCTTTTTGGTGGGAGTATGGATAACCAGAAAATACTGAATATCTTTATGATGTTAATAGAAATCTTACTGCATTAAGCAGTAAGAGTCCTGAGAGCCAGAATGGCTAAATTTGAATTAAAAGCCTATATTTTAGAAAGAGATTTAAATTACTATAGAAACAGTAAAACAAAAACAAAAGAAAATTGAGGCTTTTAAACCTCTCAGTGGCCACGGCTTTCGCTAAGAAAGCACAAATTTCCCAAAACTACTATGAGAACAAATTTTTTTTTTTTTTTTTTACTTTAATGTAAAAACTCTCCTGGCATTTCATACCTGGATTTGTGTACTTTTGATATATTGCCTTAATTTCTTTGACATATTTTAATATGCATGTATATTTACGTTCTTACAGATATCACAAAAATATTCTAGGCTGTATATATATGGCCTTGCCGCTTAGAGGGTTGAGAAAGGAATTTTCTAGCCAAACTGAAATTCCCATGCATGTTAAGATCCTTTCTCAAAGTCTCAAATATTATCCAAACTTAGGAAATAATATAAATAAAAACAAATTTACATCAATAAAAAAAAAATTCCCTATGCGTTACACATAATTTTGGCTAAAAATGATAAATATTACAGCTTCTATAAAGAATTCTTCTTGCTTTCCCCATACACACTGTAAAATTTTATTAACTGCAATGCTTCACTAATGTTAAGTGGCAGTGTTGGGTGCAGTCCTTAGTTGCTCAATCAAGGTTTTTCACCCATATCATTTGGGACTCAAAGGAGAGACAGAAATAGTTAACATGGTATCATTGGGTTCACTTAGGTTATCGGAATGTGGTAAAGGCCACAAGAGCTATTTACGTGAAAGGAGGGATGACTTTCTGAAGTACTTTCTGAGTGAAACTGGCTTGTATTCATACTACACATGGAGAAACCCACAGGCAGGCCATTCACCTGGATTCAAGAACCCACAGCAAGTCAAACTACCAGTATTTAATGATTTTAACCACTAGTGAGGTAAGATATTGTTGGGACTGACTACTTTTGGAATTAGAGTACTAAATTAACTTGTAGAATGAATACTTGATTGTTTGCCCTTAATGAAAGTGGAGCATAATTTAGCTGGATTTTGCCTGAGTATGAGAATCCACTACTTACCAAAGTGTCACTGGATAACCTTAATCTATTTTAATCAGTATGAAACTCCATGATGTATTATAATCAGGATCAGGCTTATTATTATTAAAGTAATACTTTAAGATATTTTACAATGTTATAGAACACACTATATAATTTATTACTATTGGCAACATCTCTAACGCTGCACATAGTAAATGGCAAAACGATTTTGATCCTAATAATGGGCATATGAAAATCCACTATGTTCTTAATAATAGTTTTCATACTCTCAATAATTTGTTTGGCACTTTTTTCTATTTTTGAGCAATATTCTGAGTTTTGAAAAGGGATTTTTTTATTATGCACAGAAATTTCAGTTTGCATGGGGCTGATGACATTTTGATACTTTTAGTGTATTTATCTAATTCTCTTTCACGAAATCTATTATGCATCATTGTTGAATAGAAGTCTCATTTCTTAAAATGTCTAATTCCATCCTTTTGTTTCATTACTCCAGCAGTAACCATTTTCTCTGACAGACCAGTGAAAATATGTGACACAATATCAACATTCAAATCTCGGTATGAAATATTGGCTTTAAGTTCTAATTTACCCACTCTGACTTCTGGTCTCACTGCTTGATATATTAATTTGAATGAAATTTCTTCTACTGCTATAAGAATTTTCTTGGCATCTTTGAAGTTCTGGTAATAATCTTGAAAAATCATTAAGTAAAATTTTATCTTGATAGCATTTCTGTAGACAAACAACTACATTCAGTTTGTGATTAACAAAATAATTAATAATGGCACTGAATTCTTGAATATTTTTATCCAAAAACTGCTATATATTTCATACTGTAGTTATCATGAACAAACCGGAAACCCAGCAATAATCCCATTTGAGTCTTAATGGAAAAGTACACTGTTATTGATAAAACAATCAAACAAGTGAATTCATTGAAACACTGCTCTACTATCCCTCCTTGGCATCAGTTCAGTTTTCAAAAGATCTAGATATAAACTTATCATAACATGCCCCTTATCTCCCTGGAAACAGTTTCGAAGGAAAAATGGATACCAACACAACAGATGCATCAGGTGTATATATTATACCTGTCCAAGATGGAAAACAAAAAAGAGAAACGTGATACATTGATTCAGAATGTATAAAATTATCAGTAAGAACTAATAAATATAAGATATTTACATACTCTATAAATTGATACAGTAAAAATAAACAACAAAAAGACACGCCAGCCTAGTCAAAATACTTCTTAGAACATGCAAACTTACAATGGAACAAAACTAGAATAATCAATAAACTGCAGCATAAAAGCATCTTGCAATTGAATTAGAGAAGCTATAGATATTCCCACAAGATCATGTTGCAAGTGAAACAACGTGAAGTTCTTTAATCTTTCATACATCCAGATATCAATTCTCAAAAGTTCAGCAGCCTATTTGAAACAACAAATAAAAGGTGAATTTAATCATTCAGATTTCATTTAACAAAAAAAGATGGGAGGGCCACCAGTGAACAGTAGGGCATAGCTACCACTCTTGATAAAAGTAAAACTGGGAGGTTCTCAAGCAAAAACCAGGAGTTTCCAAGACATTATTAATTGCATGGCAACACCACTTCCAAAAACCAAATTGATTAAAATTGACTTTGTAATTCCTGATTCTCAGTTATTGAACTATTTATAATATGACGCTGATCTAAAGTTTATTACTACTCCCTGTGTCCATAGATATAGTATAATTTATTTTTGTCCGAAATTATGGTACATATTTAAAACTAATTATTTTTTAGTTAAGTGTATAAATGGAGTTAAACTGATGCGGGGAAACCTTTTCTAAGACTACCTGTGGTAACCATTCCTCAAGACAACAGCTCGTAGCCATTTCTCATGACGAAGCTTGACCTTAACATGAAGAATATTACAGGAACTTCCTCTGCATGAATTCTAAATTTTATGTTACCAATGACCTAGAGATGGACAAAACTGCTCCTTTAAGAGATCAGATCAGAACCGTTAGCTCATTAAAGTGAATCAGTTCTTTTAAACAATTCACTGCTCACGAACAATGACCTTAATGAATGCGTTCAGATACCTTGAAAAACTATATTAGATAGATAGTTTATGTTTATAAACATACACTAATTCTAAAGAAGACAAAGAGAAATTCACAGCTCTTGATTATAAGACGTAAAATAAGCAAATAATAATAAAAATATAATTTATTATTTTACATAAATATTACAGTAATATTGCATAAGAAAGTAATACTTAAAATATATATAGCTATACTATGATACAGTATTCAAAGGATCAAAATGAAACTCGAAGGAACAGCTCAAAGGAAGCGAAAAGAGCAAATAATCATGACTTCACAGAAGCCAGATTTGAAACAGTGAATAATGAAGACTATGTGGGAATCAGATCCGCATCTACAGTAGGAGCGTGCGAATAATCACGACTCCGAAGAACCTAGATCTGTGACTAGTGTCTGAGCGCTGAAAACTGGAAATCTGAGGAACTAGTTTCTATAATCTGCATACTTTAAACAGTTTCTTGTACTGCCGGATCGGGGGGGTGGGGACGCCATCTATTTGCAAATAGGGATGATCAGTTTCGCTGAGATACAACGGTTTTTTTAATGTTTTATTTTTTAAATACTAGATGGAACACAAGCAAACCAAAAGCACATATACATACATACATACATACATAACACACAGAAGAAATAAGTCAGAGATGTTTCTGGTAAAATAATATAGAAAAGATTGCTAGCGTTTACATTAAAAGGAATCAAATTTTTGACACGCTTCCCAACAAACAGCTCTTCGTGAACTGTTAAAAAAATGGCCATTCCATTTTCGCCAGAGAGCTGATAATTGGTTCAGTAAAGTGAATCAGTTCTTTGAGCTGGTTCTAGAGCGAATCTCCATCTCTACAATATTCCTTTATATGAATTTCTTGAACTTTGTTTAATCAGTTCTTGATAAACAAAGGGCCACATGTCAGTTTTTTCAAGAAAAAAAAATGTTTGCAATATAGAAAGTAATTTGGTCGGATAACGGGATCAATAAACATAACTTTGGTGATGAAGCATTTGCTTTTCCAAGCTTGATGGGGCTCTTTGTTTAGCATCATCCAATTTCATTGAATTTGTCTAGCCATATTAAATTTCCCCTTTCACAGCAGCCGCTGGCAACCCACCTCCTCCCTAGCATTGATAGGTCTAGCATTACAACTTTAAATTGTACCTAGGTTACTCTGTTAATGTTTCTGATACAGCCTGACTAATCCTTACAATTTTCTCAAATGCATATCATATTTTTGGACAAAGGGAGTAATTAATTATTAGATATTTTAAATTTTATGCTTTTTAGCTAATTTCCTTTTGAAATTTTCTTATATTTTTTATTGAAAATCCTGATTGGGAAAAAGATATGTTTATACTTATCAGAGAATTTCTTAATAAAGTTGAAAATAAAATTAATAATAAATGTATAATCTAATGTGCAGATAAACAACTGAAGTATCATTTCTTGACGCAAAACAAAATTAAATACAAATATTAACTATTTAAAGATTCTGAAGATTAAGACAATTCAAATCAAATAAAATTTAATAAGAAAAATAATGCTGAAAATTATGTGCAGTGGGGAATGAAGTTTCACTAAATTCAATGATCCACAGGAAGATGTAATGAAAAGCTGAGATTCTCCAAAGTAAAATTGGAAGATATCTTAGCAATGTTTTAATGCGGTTTTAGAGTGCATAACAAGATTTTTTTATTTGAATTTTAACAACACATTTTAAAATCTTTAACAAATACATACATTCAGAATTTTCATTCTTGTTTTTTCTACATGTGTAATCTGCATAAAATAGAGAAAAAGAAGCATGACTTTGAATAATTTATTTAATAAGGTTCTTTGATAATAATTAAATATTCTATTTATGACTTTAAAATTTTAAAACCAAACAATGATAAAAAAAATAATTATTTCAGTATCTACATAATCTGATTGCAAAATTAATCACTGCATTAATTTTATTTACTAAATAAAAGTTATGAACAAAACACACCAAGATTTTAAAGAGGTTGATTAGAAATGACAACTGACTTTTATGTTTAGAAATGAAAAACATTATTTCATTTTTAAAGACACTGTACTGAGTAAAAGACTATTTTTACACAGGAATTTCTTAAAGCAATACTTTAGCTGCTCAGCAAAAGAATATTTCTGCAAAGTAGTTTCATAAATCATATTTTAAGTGCAGAATCTTAAGAATTTAACATTGAAGTGAAATATTGAGTGTCATGTGCTTTGCCACATTCAAATAATCAAATGTAATCTTTTTCTAACTAATAGGCTTATTTCATATTCAAGACCTTAGGCAGCCATCTAAAATTAGTTCAGTTCACTTTAAGATTCTTCTTCTGATTTCAGCTTCTGTCACTGTCTAATTCCTGCACAACCAAATCTGACTAGAATCATAAGGTCCACGAAGGTTATAAAAGCATGCACAATGGTGATTACCAGACTTTTTGCAGCATGAGAAAAGCATGTTTCAACATAATTACATATGAGGTTTTTGCACTCCTTAAAAAAGTTTAGAATTATTCATGTTTCATTTATGAATCTTTTTAATGATATCTGTGAGACAAACTATTTGTTAAAATTTATTTATGAAGAATTATTTTAAAAACTTATTAAAAATTAATTAACTCAAAAATTATAATATTAATTTAAATTGTTTTCCATTGCTTTTGAGTACCAAATCATCTCCACTAAGAAAGTTTTTCAAACTTATTTCATCTTACAATTGGCTTCTCCCCCCCCCCCCCCAGTTTTGTTATGCTTAATAATTTTTCATCTTACATTCGTTCTTTTTTTAAATTCAAACCGCATTATTCGCAAGAAATATTTACCCCATGCTGCGCCATTTTCTTAGTTTCCAAGGTGAACTGACTTTAATTTATGAAATTCTTATTTTTTTAAAATTTATTTATTTATTTATTTATTTTATTTTTATTTTTTCCGTATGTTATTTTGTATTTTTATTATTTATTTATTTATTATTAGTGTTTCTGCAGGTTGAAGATGTGTATGTTTTTCAGAAATTAATTACAGCCCGTGTGCCTGTAGTCTTATATATCAGTGCCATTAATTGGAGAATACCCAACTTGTTGCCCCTTCAAAAATTTGTGGTCATTAAATTTACTTTCACTGGGGTTCGGGCTGTATCCACAAGCTACATAGTTCTGGCCATGGTTAGTAACTATTACTTGTTTCTAATAGTTTTTCTCTTATTTTGTTTTTATGTATATAATATTACAATTCTTCATGTTGGTGTTTTTATTTCAAATCTGCATACTACTCATCAGCCTTTATTTTACTTTATTTAATAAGTAGTTTAATCTAATATTTTTTAATTTAATTTATTTATTATAACCTTACTAAATTGCTTAATATCTATCTCAGAAACATTTTATTTTTCTGAATTTCTCAGGATGTTGGTATTCTGAGAAATATAACAAGAAATGTAATTACTTTAATGATTTTTTTAAAATTTTTTTTAGTTTTTTTCAGTTTTCTGCAGGGATTGTATTTAATCTGCAATATTTCTATTTTTTTCCACTTATTTTTATCACTGTATTTTTTCCCTGCTGTTTCGATGGGAGAAAAATTTAAATATTCAGATTCTAAAATTAATACATTTATGTTTACTGCTAAATAACAGCAGCTTTCAGTGTGTTTTTTAGTTTACTAGAATTTAGAACTTATCACCTTCAAATTTCAATTTCAGCATATATATATTTAAATACATATTTGAATTGATGAAAAATTTTCATTTATGAATAAAACTACTGAAACTGAAAATGTTTGTTCTATTACACTATACTTCTAAATAAAATTATAATACAAAACTAAATAATAATAGAACTAAACTTTACCTCCAAAATCAGACTCTTTGTTTGATGTTGGGAAGCAAGTTGTGACAGCAGCATGAAATATATTTCTGTTTCCATCACAACGTTCGCTCAGAACACACTGTAAAGTATTTTGTCCGAGTGGAGTACCTACAGAAAAATGCATTAATTAATATGTGTACTACATTAACAACTGAAATAAAAAAAAATTGCAATACATTTAATTCATGTTTTATTCGTTTCCATATATTTTTATCTCAATAATAATAAAATGACTAGACTGACAGAAATGGGATAGTGATAAATTTAAAGATGCTTAAAAGATTAATTAAGCAAACAGATTTTCTTTTAACTACAGTAATATGCACTGATGCAGAACAAAATCCCAACAACAAATGGGAAATCATTTTAGAGAAATGAAAGGCAAAACATCTGTCTCAGTAACATTCATTTGATTAATGTTTCAAGGTCATAGGTTAAAGTATGCAACAGGTTACATTAATAACCACTATACTTGCCATGATGTTGAATGTAAGCATGCAAACACACATGCATTGTGTCATACAGGCATCAAACATCATTTTCTTAGATGGAGTTCCATTCATGTTTCACGTTCTCAGGCAAATCAGCAACAATCTATGCTAGTTGTGGAAGATGCTAGATTATGGATGATGCCATTCAGTCATATCCCACATGTGCTTGATGGGTGAAAGATTGGGCAATATCACTGGCCAAGGCAACAAGTCAACTCTCTATACCGTACACAGGGTGATGGCAGCAACATGAGGACAGCAATTATCCTGATGGAAAATGCACTCCAGAATACTGATCAAGAAGAGAGCACAACCAATGCAATCACTCACTTGACGTACACATTTGCTGTCAAGGTGTGTGGGATAATGACGAGAGTCCTTCTGCTGTTATAGGAAACTGCTCTCCAAATCATAACTTGTGGTATATGTCTGACATATCTACATGTGCTGCAGACACATTGGTTATTTCCAAGTACTTACCTGGCATTTTGCTACGCACCATACAGCCGTAACTGTCACCAAGGCAGAAATGGCTCTCATCTGAGAACATAACAGATCTCCACTCTCACCTCCAGTGAACTCTAGATCGACACCACCAAAGTCGCAGATGTCAATGATTTGGAGTTAGTGGTATGGCTGCTACACAGCATCTCACTCAGAACCATATGCCAAGTAATCACTTTGTTACAGTTTGCTGCATCATTCTGATGGCAGCAAAAGTCTGAATGACCTATGCAGTGAACTGTGCCTCAGACATGAAGCAAATACAGAGGTCTTCCCTTTGAGTGCTGACAGGTGTGGCCGCAATCCGGCCTTCTTGAGACAGTACTGTAATATTTTATTACTTAACAAATAACTATATTTATTACTGGAGAGACAATGCCATATTTGTATCATGTAACCGTTGCTCAGCCACGTAAGAAATTGTTAAAAATTGTTATTCTAAAAGTTTTACCAGCTAGTAGTTGCATGAAAAATTTGTAACTAACAGATTGTATTCAAATTATCTAGCTTCGTAAACCAAAAATAAAATTTATGTTTTACTAAGAAGATCATCTATTGTTTTGTTAAATACTGCAAAATACGTTACAGTACCTTCCTGTGACCACTACTGCCAAAACACATGCACCGTGGATAGATCCCTACCAAGTCATGTCTAATAACCTACATGTCCTATAATGTCTACATGCCTAATAACCTACATGTCTAATAACATGAACAGAAAATTCATCTTCCTGTAATCCTATAACACAACCATATTCAAACTAAAAAAGCTGGCATTCTTGACTCAAACCTCACTCACAACATTCAATCCAGAATATAAATAAAGCATACTAACTTTATATCGCATATTTAAAGCAAATCCGATTTTCATGTTCATAATGGTGCCACACTTAATTGTCTAACATAAAATATGAATAAATGTCTTCTTTCAGATCAGAAAATATGCCTCTGAAATTCTGTTTAACTTGCACAACTTGGTGTTGAGATTTTATTTTCCATCAATGTATAAACAATAGACTTTGTTTCAAAAACAATGGAGTAAAACGCACTTTATGAACATATTTTTTATTCAGCTCATTGAAAATGTTGTATTTTTCTTTTTCCACATTTAATAACTCAAGCGCTTATTATCACAAATTTTGGAATGCTATGACAAACATCATAAAACAATTAGAATGTGAATACTATAATGAATGAAGCATAAGATTTATTAAAAATCTGATTATTACAAAAAATATATCTTAATAAAAAATTATATAGCAAACCACTGCTTATCTCTTAAAGATATACTGAACAATTATTAAAAAAAAAATGCGTACTAACCAGAATCTCTCTCCAGAGAAGCAAGAGTTTGTCTGACAGTCTCTTGTTCACACTTCAAAATTGGAGGCAGGAGTGTTTGGTGCTGTAGAGAAGAAGACTGCTTATTAATGATAACCGAAAGTATGAATTTTTAGATTCGGTATCAAGAAAATCAAAATATGTTAAGCAACCACAAAAAGCTAATTTTAATAAAAATGAACATAAGGAAATGGGAAAAGTCTAATTGAATAAGTACTGAGTAGACATTCTCTTATCTGGTCAACTTGGCCATATTTTCATAGACTTTCACAAATCAAATTTCAGCTGTGATTTGTAGAAAAAAGTACAATGCACTGTGCTCGTTTAGAAAGTAAGAGTTGAATAAGAGCATTATTAATCAGAGTTTTGTATGTTTTCAAGTTTACATTTCAGTTAATTATCATTTGCTGTTTCTTTTGAAATGCAATTGCTTCAGAAATATTTCTTTCAGTTCTCTCTGCTTATTTATTTTTATTTATATTAATTTGAAGATATGAATATGAAGAATAGAATGTGTTAACTATTAAAATGAAACTAAAAGTGCCAAAACATATTGATAATATATTGAATATTGAATCTAATATATTGAACATGTAATGAATAAAACCTCAGAAAGCGTAGCAAAATTTTGTCTCAACACAAGAATAACTAAAAACAAAATTATAAAAATTTATTCAACATTATTTAACTATTTTTCTACATAATCTTCTTATAAATTAAGATACTTATCATAATGGTACACGAGCTTGTTTATTCTATTGTCATAGAATGTTGCCACCTAAGATTTCAACCATGCATGGACGCCTGCATGCAGTTCCTTGTTGTTGCTGAAGCGCTGTGTCACAAGCCAGGCACACACAAGTGACAAACTTTACCTAACTCTTGTCTCCTGTTACGACACGATCAATAGGTGATTCACTATTCGTGGTATGTCTCGAGAAATGTCAAAGTTGCTCCCATGCGGTCTTCTGACAAGAGTTTTGGTACCTATCTTGCACAAAACTTGTGATAGCCTAGATCTTACATAAGAACATCAAACAACAAAGTTCATGAAATTTGAGGAAACTCTAGTAAGAGCTCCGAAATTGTGAAGTGGTGGATTTCATGAATCTTTTCTTCGATTTCCTTTACGAGTTCAGCATTAACAATGTTCAGCCGGCCACTTCACGCTTCCTTGAGAAAATTTGTAAAACCATTTTTAAATGTGATGCACCATTGTCTCACTCCGGCTTAATTCAGTACCTCATTTCCATACACTGTACAAAGTTCTCGGTAAATTTCAGTTGTCTCAGTTTTTTGCAAACAAAAATCTAATCATGGATCACACTTCATAACTAGCGGGATTTTCTATTGCCGCACATGTTTTAAACATTCACAGTGAAAAAGGTAGAAGCAATACGTGCCGTCAATGATTACAATCGGATGCATAAGGATTCAGCTCCAACACCAATATGGGGATACTAGCTCTATCTTTTCCTGCACAGAAATGAAATGTAAGTTACTTTGTAAATAGCCCTCATTTTCGACAAGGTGGAAGATTTCAGTGAAAATGACTAAAGACAATAGAAGCACATTAGGTTCATAAACCTAAGATACTAACATTCCAATATTAATTCATACTAGAATATCTGACATACTAGATATTGTTTGCCCAAATGAATTAAGAAATTTGTATTCAAAACATTATTGCTAATATTTCTAACCTTTTTTAATTAATCAGTTTCCACTGGTTTGTGTAATTAATTACATTTAACTTAAGATTTGATAAGATTCAAATTATATAAAATAATTTCCTACTCTTACAATACACTACAACAATTTAATAATATATAAATTACTAATAAATAAAAAAAATCTCATTTTACTTCAAGTGCAAGCACTACTATGGCCACTTGGTTTTTCTGACTTGCTGTTACATCTTTTAGTGAATGAACTCCAAGACCAATGGCTCTAGCTGGAGGGAGATCAAGCCAGACAGGATCTCTTATACTATCGGTACAATCTTTTGATAATGGATAGATAGCACTATTTCCATCACGAAGCACAGCAACAGTTTCATTCTAGAAAATAAAAGGATTAAATTAATTATATGTAAACATTGCATACATTCATAGTTTTCTTTCTTTAACAAACAAAAAAAAAGATTAATTTTAATTGCTCAGAACTTGAATATTTTGTTCATGAGGACATAATATATACAAAATATAATACTGACTATTAACTTTCTTCCTGTTAGTTACTATTATTTCAGCAAATGAATGCTAGCCAATGCGTTTTTCAGGAAATGATGCTGAAATATGCATTGGCTTGTTTTTGTGAATGTGAAATCCAATTCACCAAATTAAGAAATTTTTTGGATATTTTTTTTACAGAACCAAAATCATAGTTAAGCAACCACCTATGATTAATTATCAAAGATCAGTTTACTTCTCCTTTTCAAATGTAGAACTTGTATTCTTTGCATAAAATTTTGTTGGGATGCTCTTTTTTTTTTTTTTTTTTTTTTTTTTTTTTTTTTTTTTTTTTAGTTTGGCAGTTTTAACCTTAATGCTAATGTTATATATATATATGCATCTCCTATGAACATTTCTTACAGCCAGGCGTCTCACCCATGCATTAATGGAGAATGAGCATCAGGGTGATGATATATGTTCATTTTAAGCTGAAAGATTTTTTAAAGACTAATATATGGCATCTTGTGTCCATTGATTTGGTGCTGAATTAGTTTTAAGATCCTGACCTTCAGTTTAATCCCATTCTGCCTAACTTTTGTGTTAGCTGTTGTAGGGAAAGTAGGGAAACCATCATATAAACAGAGCTCAGCTATTTAACTCATAAGTAATATAAAAACGTTTGCATTTCTCCTTTCCCTTCAATTCCTTTATTTATTTATTTGGCTACTATATAGGGTCTTTTAGGATTATTATGAGGGGTTCTGTTATGCTTTGCGCTGCTTTTATCTCTTATATTTCACATACTTTTTATTTCAGAAAGCCTTAACTTCAGTTTATTATGGCAAGCAAGTGTAACTTATTAGAAGAAGGATATATTTGCATGATAAACGAGTCAATCAGTAACTGAGTTCACCAAATGCCAGCCTTCCACTTCCTGTGAAAGATTTTGTTACTTCTTGTAAATAATCTTTATTGCACTTTTTTAATTGACTTTTAATTGACTTTTGAAAGTCCATTAATGTATTTTGTTCATTAAAACTTCAGAATAATTTGAATAGCACTTCCGAAAATTATTTCTCAAAGTATGCATTTTTCTTCATATATTTTCATGTAAAGTAGAAGAAAAAAGATTATTAAATGATAATTTTAATGTATATGATAGCTTAAGTAATAATCTCAAATAAACCAAAAACTATGATGATAGGACTTCTTTGTTCCTGTGTGATTTTTTTCCCCTCTAAAGTTCGGCTTAGTGATGAAAAACCCTCATCCTGTGTAATGATTCCTTTTGACTCCCATTCGTCTCGAGCACTTTTGCTTACATCCAGGTCATGTTAATAGCAGTTTGGTGGTACTTCCACCCACGACAATTCCACACAAATCAAAAAGAGAGGACACTTCTGCATAAAAGAAACATTCGCTTTTGGATGGATAATAGCAATTTGTATAGTTTGGTGATATCTTAGATATTTTTGATAATTTGCAGCTGTGGTTTTGATAATGAATTTATTTTATAAAATTTCAAGATACTGGGTGACAAAAATATCCTTTTTAGCAAAAACATTTTCTTATGTGTAAAGAATGACAAATACCTTAAGGTACCTTTAAAATGGCAAAATATCACAAAATTAAAATACATTTTAAAGCCCAATTTCCTTATATCTAATTAGTATAAGTAAAATTTGTATATATATAGGTAGCCCTCCTATAACACAACGTCCTGTAGCACAATTTCGATATAACATGATTCATAAACTGCGAGAACCCTCGCACAACACAGTTTTACTCCAACACAATAAGAAAATTCCCCGTGCTATCCAAAGAAATTTTAGAAAACTCTGTATGAAATTTTTCCAGATTAAGCAAAGCACCCACATAGTCATTTCGCACATAAAAATCCTTCTTACGCAAGTCCTGCCAGTTGTCTTCCAAGATCCAGTTCCTGTAAGAACAAATGTCCTCAGGGAGACAAACTATGCAGCGGAGACCAATTGTTGATTTCTTAACCGGCAACGAAAGAAAATTGTTTCCCTCCATGAACTTGAAAGCAAAAAAGTATAACAGAAATAATATCCAGTCTCAAGAGAGCACAATCACCAGATAACAACGAAGAAGTACCTTTATATCGGAAGAAAAAAACTGCACCTAGATTTAAGGTGTCTAATGATCAACTTATGCTATATGACAAAACCCTTGTTAGTTTATAGATCTTTAGATCCTTGTGCACTTAAAGGCATAAATGAAAACACCTTACCGGTATATTGGAAAGCAAATCCAAGAGGCTGGGTAACCGGAAATTTCATTAAAGTTTGGTTTTTAAATTTATTTGTGCCAGACACTGAACGCTATTTAAGACAGAAATATTAGAGCATCAAGGCATCATTAATATTAGATAATGCTCCATGTCCCCAACAAGATTTGAATCATCACAACATCAAAATACTGTTCCTACTACTGCTTCGTTACTCCAACCATTGGATCAAGGTATTATTTATACCTTTAAACCTCTACCCACGGTGGTCGTCTATAAGCAAATAACATAGTCTGCCATATATTTTGGCAATCATCAATAGACGTTTTACAGTTTAAAGGCGGTTGCTGAGCAGCATTTGGTCATCAATGAACGATTATAAAACAACAATCATTTATTATATACCAAATTGACTCCAAAACAAGGTAATTATAATATAATAATTAATTATAAAATACAGTAAATATCCCCAAAGAATCACAAATTGTGTTTTGCTTTCCAATTTCGTATAATAAATAATAAAATGTAAGCATTCTATCTGTTTGTATTTTTGCATCACCAGCAATATATATATATATATATATATATATATATAAAGAAAAAGAAAAGAAAAAAGAAATTCTGCTGGGATATTCAGTGGTTTATATCCATTGACATCTCACGTAAGTGGTGCTGGGTCACCCCCAGTAATTGCTGGTAAAAATACTACTGGGGGTGACTCCACGTAAGTGGTCAACACCCCAGTAATACCTTTTGGAGATTTTGTATCAGTTCTAATACGGTTGATGCATCAAGATTTTGCACAAATTTTCTTCTTCTGGAATAGTGTGGTTTTATATAACTGTCATGGATCAATCATTAATGTCAATGGTGACAAATTTAAATAGTGAATCCAGCAGTAGTAGTGGCCAGAATAATGTAAGTTTACATTGGAGTGACTGTGATGAATTTCATTCAGACGCGTATAATTTTGACAATGTAAGTGTGAGAGCGAGTGATATGTTCATGTGGCTGATGATGCTGAAGAATAAAATTATTTTACAATTTTTTTTTTATATGAGCCAAGTATAAATGCAAATGAAACCAATAGATATTATGTATTTTGTACAAGAGACGAAAATGGCTCAACAAGCCCCCCCCCAAAAAAAGCTGTGCATAAATATAATAATTGACAAGGCTTACTAATTTTTAGCATTATGTTTGTTGATGAATTAAGTGAAGAAGAGTACCATATCCAGGTACTGGTCAAAAAATGATCAACGAACAGATCTTTTCAGCAACTCACAACAGATATGCACAAATTTTGCGATTTTTACATTTTGCGGATAATGATAACCAACCAGAAAATTTGATACATGTTTGAAAATCTAAATGCCCAATTGTTTACATATTTTCATCATTTCAAAAAACACGTATTGACGAGTCTCTCGTGTTGTTAAGGGTAGGTTATCATTCAAACAATATGTCCCTTCAAAACAACATCAATTGGACCAAAACTGTTTTTTGCTGTGCGGTCGTGAAACCAGAATTATTTTGAAAATTTTGGTTCGCACTGGTTCCATCAGAGGTATACTGCAACACGAAACACTTGCTGCTGCAAGTACTACAGTTAAAAACTACTACAGTTAAAAACGTCATAGAAAATTATCCGTGAGGGGATTACCTTCTAATACTGATAATTGGTACACCAGCCCGAAGTTGGAGGCCTATTTGGTTAAACATTGCACTGGTTTTATGAGGCATGGTCAAGAAAAATCGAAAGCATTTCGCAAAATTTACAACACTTAGATGCGAACAAATAAAACTGCAGGAACACTTTCTAATATGGAAAGATAGAAGATTTTATTTCCACATTTCACAAAGGAACATTGGAGGGCAGTGGAAAAGTGAATCATAGAACACATGATCAGACTGTGGACTACACCACAAATATGAGACATATACAAGGCTAACACTCAGTTATACTTTGTAGAGAGTGTAACATATTTCTGCTAAAAACAGAAAACAATGACTTATCACTCAAAGAATTTATCAGAAACATTACACAACAAATTTTGTCACAACACAAAGCTTTTACTCCAGTTCGATCTAGTAGATGAAGCAGAGAATAGCTTGGCTGATCTGCCACCACTAATTTCATTGAAAGACATTTTTTAACAATGTTTCGCCCACTATTGGGAGAAGAAAGGGTTAAAGAATATGCCAGGTTTGTAGACACACCACCAAATTCGAAAGAAAATGCGTATGACAACTTCGTGTCCAGTGTGTCAAGTGGGTTTATATGTTGGTCCTTTTTTTTTTTAGAATAAACCACAGTCAAAAGCCTTTTTTTTTTTTTTTTTTTTTTTTTTTTTTGTCATTTATAGTTTATAAGAACATTTTATTTAGTCTAGGTTTATATGCTAGCAGTGTAAGTTTGTATGTTTATAGGATTATATGTTTAGGCAAATATCTATAAATTATTGTTATATTGTTTAGGAATATAATGTTAACTTTTTCTTTTTTATGATGCTTCCAACCTCTCTGAAGCTAAACATAATATGAATAAAAAAATTTTGCAAAATCTTAATTTCTGCAAATTTTTACATTTGGCCGTGTAGTCACATACAATTTTACCCATAGTTAAAGGTTAAAA